CGGACTTAGACCAGAACTGGGACTCTGTTTATTGACTTACTTTTGAACAAGCACCACTTTGGATGAACAGACACACTTACTGCCTGAACAGACATGTGAATAGACACTCTCTTTCTGCACGAACAGACACACTGACTGCACGTACAGACACATTCCTATCTGAACAGACATGACATGTGCAACCCCTGGCGAACAGGTATGTCCTTTGGCAATGACCTTTAGCACTGACTTCTTGCTTTAGTTTAGATGTGCCCTTTGACCAGAGAACTTGACCTTTGATCTGCTTTCACGTTTCCTGGTCCTGGCGAGATACCCCTTCACGTCGCTTTACTTTTACAAGGCCTGATTCGGGTAGAGGCCCTTTTACTCCACTGTTCATCGCCAGCTGCGGCCCCATGTACCTCCACCCGAGCTCAACAACCCTCCAACTCACTTGTACCATGGAAAACTTACTGCTAAGTGCCTCTTTGATGCCCCCTTTTTCTGACAATACTTCGATTAAGCGCCTGAAGCCTCTGCAGAAGCTCACGGGTGCGGTGGAGCCCTACCGTAGTTAGCATATGGGGAGCTCAAGTGCAGCACCTGGAAGAGCCAATCTTGAATCCCTGAGAAATTGAGAATACAGTGAAGCAGACTGGCTCTGACCACCCAAGTTGTCTTGGGAGTGAGAGATGCCCTGCAGATTTCAGAAGTGCTGCTTGGTTGGGCCTCTAGGGAATCAGGCCCCTTTCGTCAGTGGGAAGTACCCGCTCCTTGGTCCCTTTCCATTTCCAATAGGTGGGGAGCACCCCGTCCTAAACGGAAAGTGCAATCCAGTAGGGCTAGGTCCTCAGGCGTCTGTGCATGGGTCAAGAAATTGCCAGACATCAACAGGTAGTGTCCCAGCAGCAGTGCTTAGCAGGAAGATTTAGGGTGGGCAAGACCTAACATGACGAGTAGAATGCAGACAATACCCAAAATTTGAGTGATTTCATGTCCCTTTGGTCTCCAAAGCACAGGTGTGTCACTGGCATTTATTGAAAGTTTCGTCACCGGCATTAATTAAAATTGCCAGGAAGGACTCGGATTGTGGAAAAGAAGAGCAAAATGCAGAATCACAGAAGAAGTGAAATCGAATTTGCAGCATACCCACACACTTCTCGCTGTTTAGAGAATGGTATACCCTCGGCTGAACAGCCATGCTAAGTCCTAGCACAAGGTTGACACTGCTGCTGCAGACCAAACATCGTTGCATGTAATGCCTCTAAGCCTGCCACTCGGCAACTTGCAGTAATCAGAACCACTCTGCTATGTGATCATGTTTCCTGGCTGCAGGATTCACTCCTGGAGACTCATTTGCGTCTTGCTCAGCAGCTTGAGAAAGACGGTAAGCATACCTGTGCTCTTTGGGTTGGATGGATTGGGCCCCATGGAACCATCTTTGCACATTCTGCCTTTTTTTTTTTTTGTCAATTTTGATGTCAACAAAACACAGTTGCTCCTGTTCGGGGCTTTGCTGACTTCTGTATTTTGCTCCCTCTCCCGCTGTCATCCCTGATCTCAGACTTTGGGTCTGGATGGGATCAGGGCTGCATCCACTTCAGTTCTCGTCAATATTCTGTTTTTTACGTGTGTTCTTTGAACTTCTTTCCGTTTCCTGGCAATACTATTAAAGCGTTTCCGTGTCACCCTGACTACCTTTATCTTGCCATCATTTCATGCCCTTTTGGCTGTGCCTGCTCTTTGCCAACAGCCTGATTCTCAACTCTCTAACATATCACCATAGATAGGTCTGACTGTTCTATCTATTTTCCGTGACCGTCCTCAGCTGCAAGGAAAATGAGCAATAGCGAGATGACAGAATCCAGATTACACGATCACATTGAAAGCCAGAAATTCTCAGTGTCCAGAAAGCAGTAATGCACCAATGTTACACCAATGGAGAATAAAAACACAGAAACCGAATGTCAATGAGAGCTTGCTCTCGTCATCACCAACATCAGAGTCCAGGCCATCCCCCCTACTTGGCGCTTGGCGCCCAGACTACTCCCCAACACAGCTACTATCTGCCTATGAATTGACAATGCAACTGTTGACGTCAGCAGCCACCGAAGCACATGAAGATGTCGCCCAAATGCAGACCATCGCGAATACCAGGTATGAGCCCTCACATCCTCATCCTCATCTCTCTCTCTCTCTCTCTCTCTCTCTCTCTCTCTCTCTCTCTCTCTCTCTCTCTCTCTCTCTCTCTCTCGTCTGTCCACCTTGTCTTCCCATTGTACACCCGAACACCACCACTGCACCTTGCTGTACTCCAAGCCCAGCCAGCTATGGAAGCTGGGCTATGGCGCTGCCCTCAGCAGCGCCCTTCTTCCCACACGACCGCACGTGCGCAGCACCTTGCCCCTAGCGCTAGCAGCAGCACGTGACCGTTCGCTCCAGCAGCGCTGCCGCAAACTGGCAAGTGCCTGAATGAGCCTCCAGGCAGCGAGCTCTTTCCTATATGGAAAGAGTCTGCCTGGCCTTTGACCTGGCTGGGCTGGGCCTGCGCCCAGAAGCTTCAGGTAGGCCCCAGGTTGCTGGGCCTCTGCTGATGCTGCTGGGCCTGCTTCAGTTACTCCCCCCAACTGTATGTGTATACTGCTGCGAATGTGGACCAGGGCCTGCACTTCAGAAAAGGCCTAGAAGGTCGTGGAAAATCTCTGCTGCTTGGGTCCTGGGTTCCCTCAACCAACTGATGCGACACAACTGCCTAAAACCCCAAATACGAAATTGACAGCATTGGCCTCTCATGATTTGTTAGGCCCGCCTTCACTTAGGGCGGGCACACTTGCATCATGGGCCCCCTTAGGCCTTCCGAGGAGCCTTATCCTCGCATTCCCTCCTCCTTTGTTTTGATAGTCCTCTGAGAAGTCCCTTAATCTGCAGGCAACTTTCCCTTGAGTGTTCTTTTGTAGCCTGCAATCACTTCGGGCGCTGTTCGTTGGAGTTCTTCTGTAGTGAACCACCGATCTTCACTGGGGTCAATATGGTGTTTGAGTCTGACACGGTATTGCATCCTTGGCTTTGGAGGTCGGCCTCTGCCGGGAGGTTTAGGCACTGGCATCAACCGATGCTCCACAATGTCGTCGATGTCCACTTCGCCATCCATGGTTGGGGGCAACATTGATCGTCTGGAGGGAAACTGTGGAGTCTCCGCGAAAGGTGCCAGCTTTGAGGCGTGGAAGACTGGATGTGTGCATAGGTGAGCAGGGATGTGAATGACGTAGGAAGGTCCATCTATCTGATCCCCCATTATGTCTAGGACCTCCCAGGGACCAAAATACTGCGGCATTACTTTTTGGGAAATTCCCAACTCTTGACCTAATTCAGATGATTTAACCTAGACTTTGTCCCCTACCTGAAAGTTAGAAGGCCGTCTGTGTTTGTTCTCAGATGCAATCATAGCATCTTGAGACTTCCTAATGTGTTCAACGGGCTGCTGTAGCATCTGTTCGTACTTGACAGCAAATTCTATGCTGCCAGGTGCTACAGTTGACTGATTCTCAGGTAGTAGGAAATCAAGGGTGGATTTGGGCTTCCAACCAAGATGCCGTTGGTTGGGAGTCATGCCAGTAGTGTTGTGCACAACGTTGTTGTACAGGCTGGCGACAAGTGGTAATTTCTCGTCCTAGTCATTCTGGCTTAACTTGATGTAATGCCAAAGCAAGTGCTGGACTACTCGGTTCATCTGTTCCGCCTGTCCATTTCACTCGGGGTGATTCTCTGATGTCATTTGCAGTCGGGTGCCCATTTTTTGAGCCGTGCTTTGCCACAGTTGGCAGGTAAAGCGGACGTCCCTGTCACTAATGATGGACTTGGGTAACCCAAAGTCCGCTACCCAGTTATCCATAAACAACTTGACAACATAGTCAATTTTCGTTTGTTTGGGGCATGGCAATAAGTCTAGCGTACTTGGTAAATCGGCCCACTATGACGAAGATGTGTCTTTTACCGTTCTTGCTGGTCACAAAAGTATCCATGAAGCCGATGGGCACACTTTGACCAGGACCACCAGGGATAAGCAAGGGCTTGATAAGCCCAAGCGGAGCCAGAGTCCTAGGTTTGTCCCGTTGACAAACCTGGCAAGTTTCAACGTCCTTCTTCGCATCTTGCATCATAGACGGCCACCAGAATCTCTGCACTAGGTTAGCTGATGTCTTTTTATAGCCGAAATGGCCAGTTGCATCAAGACACTCACCTAAAAATAAACTACGCAAAGACTCTCTATTTGGAACACAATCTCTTATTCCCAACCTTTTCAAGGAACAGAAAGCCATTGACCACAGTAAATTCGTCAGAAGTTACTTTATCTTTCGCTTCTAACTGACAAATGATCTTTGACATAATTGTGTCTTCTCGATAGGCTTCCACCAAAGATCGAGTTACATCGTAAGATATACCAAACTCAGTTATTAGCGCACCCTAATAATTTGCCCTACGCGATAGTGTATCAACCACCTTATTGTATTCTCCCTTTAGAGGGTCAAGTTTGAAGTCAGACATATCTATGACTTAATCCACCTCCTTAGGGCATCTGAGAGTACTGACTGTGTCTTGATCCCGCGCAAGGTCTCATGGTCAGATCTCACGTAGAAGAATCTGCCTAGGAGGTAGTGCCTCCAATGGACTAGCGCTCTATAGAGGGCAATGCCATAAAGCTCTCACTCGTACGTGGACTTAGCTACTTTTTGAGAGGACATCTTCTTGCGCATATACTTGATGAGCCTCAACTTTTTCCCCTCCTTTTGCGCAAGGACTACGCCTATGCCATGCTGGTTGGCGTTTGTGGTCACTACAAAGGGCTGCTCAGGATCCGGAAGTTTGAGGACTTCATAGTGTGCCAGGGCATACTTCAATTTCTTGAAGCTTGCTTCACACTCTTTGGTCCACTCCCAAAGGGTGTCAAGGCGGGTTAGGTCGGTTAATGGGGAAGCTACAGTACTATAGGTTTTGACAAACACACGATAGTAGCCCGTTGTCCCCAAAAACGATCGGATCTCAGTAACAGTCTGAGGTCCGGGCCAGCCACGTGTGCTGGCCACTTTGGCATCGTCTGGCCTCAACCCATCCACGAAAATCTCATAACCTGGGTACAAGATCTTGGTGCGACCGAGCTCGCATTTCTCCAAGTTGACCTTGTACTAGTGCTGCCTTAGGAGACCTAGCATTGTTTTCAAGTGCTCAGCGTGCTCCTCTACAGTCTTACTAAAGATAAGGATACCGTCGAGGTACACGATGATAAACTTGTTTAAGTAATCATGAAAGATCTAATTCATTGCGTGCGGGAATGTCCCAGGTGCATTGCATAGACCAAAGGGCATCACCACAAACTCGTACAAATCGTACCTGGTCTGGAATGCGGTTTTGTGTTGGTCCTCAGGTCTAATGGCAATTTGATGGTATCCGGACTTCAGATCTATCTTTGTGAAGTGTCGGGACTCTATCCAAGAGGTCGTCGATGCAGGGTAGGGGCTCCGCGTTCTTAACAGTGTTGGCATTGAGGCCCCTATAGTCAATGCACATCCTTAGGATACCTCCCTTCTTAGGGACGAATAGGACTGGAGCACCGTAAGGGGAGATCTTAGGCCGAATACATCCCTTCTCTTTGAGCTCTTTGAGTTGGCGGCGGAGCTCATCCAACTCTGCAGGAGACATCCTATAGATCCGTCCTCTAGGTACTTTGCTACCCGGGATGAGTTCTATCATATGGACAACCTCCCTTTCCACCACACCATTGGCTCTTAAAAAAGGTCTGAATACTGAGCAACGACTGCTTCTATCTCTGGGGGCGATTCTACGGCCTTCCCTTTCTCAGAGACAAAGACTAGGTACATGCCCCCCTCGCAATTCTGCTTATAATAGTTATAGAAAGAAGATGCACACATGCAGCCATAGTACTCCACTAGAGTGCTAGCTTTGAACTTATGCAGCCTAACAGTTCTTCCATTAAGCAACTTGTGGATCATCACCTTCCTATCCCAATCGAATTCAGGTTGAGCAACCTCGAGGTAGTATATGCCTAGTAGCATATCAAATGGCAGTTCGTTGCTGACAAGGAATGAAATTTTGTGTCAATTCCCCTCCTCCATAGGAGAAGGTGCAGACTGCATCCTTGACATAGTCTTGGACAACCATATTGTGCTTGTTGGCTAACGTAGATGCTACAAATCTGCTCAACCGCTGCATTTGGTCCCCTAAGCGCAGTTTGTCCACACAAGCACGACTGATGAAGTTCCGTGTAGAGCCTATGCCTGCGAAGGCGCCCACTTTGCGACCACCTATATCAACCTCTACCACGAAATGTTCACCCCTAGGACCTTTGCTAATCATCGCCCAAGAGTCTCT